AAAAGCAAAAAGGGAAAGGAAATCTTCAAAGATAAAATTTTACCATCGAAGTCTTTTCGATAACGAAAGAATTAAATATTCAATACGCTTCGTTTCACATCACTGAATTTTATTTCATTAATCAAATCGATTTATATTACTTTTCTTTTTAAGCACACCTTATTGATTTGTATTAAAGTGAATTTAAAGTTGACGGAAAAAATTTCATTTCTCTTTATCTTTTTATTTTTCACAAATAGTAAGTACTCATCATTATATGCGCAATGTACCATTTATTGTCTATGTAAAGTTAAATTACTTTTTTAATAGATTAATTTTAGATTAAAATTTAATAGTCATAAGGTTTTAGTTAATATTCAGTGACGAATATAATTTTGAATCAAATAGTTGAAAATAAATAATGGCAAATTTATGGTTTTTATAAAAAAAATGTTGACTATTTTTCTTTTTTAAATTCAATTTATTATTAAAAATATTGCGAATTATTTGAAAGAATTTTTAAAATCTTGTGAATAATTTATAATTGCTAGGAATGATGGAAGTTTCGGTTGTGATATGCAATAAGTTTTATGGCGTTAAAATAAAGTTAAGATAATGACACTGAAATTGTTGGATTATTATTAATCAGATCATTCTTAAGATTCAACATGATTTATAGGCCTTTAATTAGTTTGAGACTTAAAATTTGCGGTTTTGATTAAAATAGAAGTTGGAAGTTGTTTACTAGACAAGTATTTTTAATAATCATTTAAGCGTAACTAAACATTAATAGTTTTAAGAAGTGCTATTTAATTAATTAGTTCCAAGAAAACGATTGAAGATAGATTAACGAATAATTTAAGCAAAATTGTTAAATACTAGAACAAAGGAATAACACTTATGTGATTGAGTAAATGAAAGAAATCATAGGGGAAAATCTAATTAACTTTTAGGACCCAGCAAATGTACCAATTAAATTTATTATTTCAAGCTTGTTTGGACCTGTTTTTTTGCTATTTGAACGAGATTTATTTTTTGTCGAATCAATTTCAACAATAAATATTTTAAAAAAGAAATTAAATATTATCACCAAATTACCAAAATAAATAAATGTAAAAATAAATTTATTGAAATTTAAATGATTAAAATCATTTGATAAATTAAGTTGTTTGAAAAAAAAAAGAAAAAGAAAGAAGAAAGAAATAAATGAATTAATTAGAATATCGAAAACGCGTAATTGTGAACAATAAATTAGGATAGATATTTCGATGGTAGTGGTCAAATAATCATGACAATATATGTGAAATTGCCATGGCTACACGTTGTCAACTAAATGATATTGACCGGTAGACAAAGAGGGAGAGAGAGAGAGAAAGAAAGAGAAAGAGAGGGAGAGATTTTTTGCAGAAGCAAAATGAAAAGGGAGAGAAAAGACTCTCGTACAATGTGATTGTACGAATGAAAGTATCTGTCAAGAATTACTTGATGATATTTCCTTCAAATTGATTGAAATTTGTCTTTTAGAAGTAGAAATCAGTCAATCTTAAGGATTAACAATAAAGCAATAGTAATAATAGTAATTTACATATACATATATATATATATATATATATATATATAT